AAGCAATACTTTACTTTTGTAATAAAGGGTCAAGCAATAGCAGTTTGTTCCTTTTTCAAACAAGGAGCTAGCTTACATATACATTCCCCAACTTCCTCACCCTGTTCCCTGGTGGTGCGTGTCTGGGCTGGGTTTGCGTGTTGAGCAGCACGTTGCGTCCGCTCTCTGCATTTTCCAAAACCTGCCTTGGGCCCAGTCATCTTACCTCATGCTTGTGTTACCAAGGTGCCACCTCTTGAGTGTCTTTCCCTGCAAGTATTTTCAGTTCAGAGCTCCAGTTTCATCTCTAATTAGTCTATCTTCTAAATAGCCAGTTCCAACTCTCTATTTTTCCCTTCACACTGAATGATTGACTTTTAGAGATGGGTAGGACCTTTAAGTTTATCTTCCTTCATCTTATAAGAAAACTTAGATCCACAGAAAGAGAGTGATTTGCCCAAAGTGCTACACAAACTTAATGTACAACCCTGGGTTCTTGTCTCTTAATACCTTTTTTCCCTCTCTATTGGACCATGCTGTCTCCTCCTCACATTTCCCTTTATTCAAGGAATTCTGCTTGTTCTGATCTCATTACAGAGCATTTGAGTAAAATCTGGAGTCCTACCCATTTTCACTACTGTAATCTCAGGCGTCTGTGGCTTGGTGACCCCTCATGTAGTCCTCTTACTTAAAAAAGAAGTCAGTCTCCTTTTACATATGAAGCACTTTGATTTATACACACACATACACATTAATTCTGCTATATACACTCATTTAATCCTGGCAACCCTTTAATGTAGTTTTTATCTTCTATAGGTGAGAAAACTGATGCTAAAAAAAGTGAGATGACTCTGACTTAAATTTAGGTTCTTTTACTTTTTAATGTTGCTTATTTATTTTGGGGAATTTTGCAGGCTCCAGCTAAAGTGCCCAAAATGTCTAGCATCACAATAAAAGATTAAATAATACCCTCCCCAAATCCATGTATTCTCTTCCCAACACACAGAATACATCTTTAGATTCTAAAGCCAGTTTTCAGAATATTGGAGCCAGCCTAGGAACTGGACTATTTTCCTCTACCCACAATTGTCTGCTGCCTTTCACATGGACTGGAATATGAGAGGGTTGTGGACTTGTGATTTTAACATAAAAGAGATGGAAAACTCTTGTAAAACATTTTGTAGGAAAATTAAACCATCGCAAAACACAATTTATGGATTATTTCTCAGTTTTACTGGTCTGTTGCTTTATATAATTGAGAATTAGAATGTGAGCGTTTATACATTTCAGGTATGAACTCTCAGAAAATGGGTTTTGCTTTTGAATCCAAAGAAGCTGTTTCCCATGATTTACGTAAAAATTTTTTCAAGTCTTTCTTCATTAGATATCAACAAGTTCTGATGATGCTGTTGTGAGGCTTCAAGGTCTGGGATCTTAAAGAACAGTTCCTACAGTTTCCTAATATACCACCCTCTTCCCTGCATTGCTCTTCCCTACCCCCATGATGACGCTTGGCCTCAGAGGAAGAGGATAGAATTCATAAAACAACGACTGTCAGGGCCACCCCTTGACACACCTAGGAGGCCTCCAGGCTGTGATTTATAGACCAAGAGTCTCCTGTAGCTTTTCTTGTGCCTCCCTCTATTTCCTGTTCTCAAGTTTTTTGTTTATAGTAACCAAAAATGACTAATAGTAGCTTTGATGTGACTTTTAATAGTCCTTACCCTTTAATGCAATCAAAGTGTTAGTTAAACCAGAGGAATGAATCTCTAGTGCATAGAGCTGGGTGCTAGTCTTGGCTAGCTCAAAGGCTTGCCTCCTGTATGCTCTTGGGGCAAATTGCTTCACCTTCTTGGAGCTGGTTTCTTCATAGGCTTATTAAATAGGATCCACAGTTCTTTCCTATGCCAACATGTCTTTTGTGACTTGACCATTGTTCATGGGGCTGTGTCTTTGTGAGGACCCTTTCTCCTATGTTGATGGAGCTAGGCAGATCCTGTAGGCAGCACATGGAGGAAACTTTGAAGTCAAGTTCAGGCTCCACCATGTCCCTGTCTGTGACCTTGGGCAAGTCACACATTGTCAGTCTCTGATGTCCATTCTTCTCAACTCTATCAGTATTCCCAAACTCAGCATTTTTTGTGAATAATGAAGGAAAGTGTTTGACATTAATTCTACCAATGTAAATGATGACTACTGTTACAGTGGCATCTGGGTACCAACACTGAGTCACCAAGAGCCATCTCTCACTTCAGGAGTTCTGGGAGGGAAAGAAGCAGTTTTGGCACATGCCGTCCACCTCTCTTATGCTGTGGCCCCGTACTCTCCTAGTGTCCTGCCAGGTATTACTCGGTCCCCTGCTCCTCCCTTCCACAGGTCCAGTATTTGAGTATTCCCAAGTAGCAGTGACCATAGGATATAGTGGTGTATAGCCTGGTACTTTGAGGTTTGGCCAGAAAATAAGCCTCCTTAAATCTGACAACTTGGCCCTTCCCACCCCATTCCAGCTCACCAGCTATGGCAGACATTCACATATACACGTTCATGCACACGTGTACTTTTCCACCCTCACATGCTTCTTGCTAGTGGCTGTTAAAAAAATTTAATTCTTGTTCAAGTACCTGACTTTTTTTCTGGTGGATGATCTAATCTCCCTACCTTTCCAGTGCAGCCACAAGGCAGAGGTATGACAAAGAGTGTGAGAGGGAACCAAGAACTGGGGATACAGAGAATCATAAGACACCTTCCCTGCCTTCGGTCATGTAAGGACTGCAAGAGGAGTGAGCCCAAAGTGCTTCAGAAGGTTCCTAATATGGCAGGAGAATGGGGAAAGGCTTAGAGGAGATGATACTTGAGTGACCAGTGTAAAAAGGTCGGGGGAGGTATCTTTATTTTATAGCTGAGGAGATAATGTGGGAAATTTAAGGAACTACCCCAGGGTCACTACCAGTCACTGCAGTGGCTAGAATTCACATTATGGGGCAGTACTAGCCTAAAGTTTTGTGCCAAGATAAACTGTTGTGTGAAAGGCAAGTAATTTTGGGGTCTTTACTTTTTATCCATTGCTTCACAAGATTGCAAAATGGGAGTGCCAAAAGTGAAAGAAGCTTTTTTGGGGGGACTAAAACAAAAACCAGTGATCAGAATAATGGAAAATTAGACTTTTTAGAAAACCATCTTATTTTTTGCCCGTATGCTAAAAATTGTCAAAGGTATATTTAACATCTTTTCCTATAATTATCATGTGCAGTACAAGATGAATGCTGATGTGACTACACTTGTATACTTGAGTAGTACCCTGGATTTTTTCCCCTGCTGTTCAGAAGCTTCTTTTTTTTCTTTCTTCCTTTTGTATAAATCAAGAGTGTCAATGAGAAATGCAGCATATTGTCATTAATTCAAAGATATCTACATGCCATATACGCCAAAGATGATAAATTGATTTCACATATAAAAACGTCTTTTTTTTGCAGTATGTTATTTGTACCAAAGAAAATTATCTTGCTAAGACACTAAACTGTGTTATTTTGTTTCATCTGTGTAGTTAAAGATCACCTAAATTACAGATCACCTAAAAATGGGTTCCTGTCCCTCAATTAGTATCAATTTTGTCTTTGCTTAATTCCTGATAGCCTAGAAGAATACAGATTCATTCAAATACTATATATATATATATGAACTTTAAGTCACTTCTTTCTCTCAAACATTTTAATTTTAGTTTTATCTTACTGGCATTTTACTTCTGATGATAGAAGAAACATTGTTGACAGGCCTTTAACTGGGTAAGTTACAGAATTTATGTGGCCTCAGTTTTTTTTTAAGTAAAAGAAGGTATGAGCTCTTAATTCCCTTCTTTATATAAGATTATATGACTCATTACTTTGTTTCAAGTTATTGCTCTACCTGCAGTAGGTTAAAGATAGAGGGTTGTTGATGAGTCAGGGCTAAAGGAGTCATTTTCGAAGGAATCATAATTGTGCATATGTTATCACACATTAAGTTGTCAGGTGTGACAAATCTGGTGACTTCTGATGTCCTTTTGTTTCTTAGCCAAAGGACATTAAAAGTAATCCTTTGCAGGCTTAAGTAAGTTTTATGAGATTTGATCATAGTATAATAATAGTCCCAAAGGTCACAGGCTCTCAGTTGGCAGACAATAAATGATTGTTGAAGTTCACTTAGGCATGGTTTAATTGAGGTGAGTTATAAACCATTTCTAAATGCAAATACAAAAAAAAATAACAAACTAAGCCTAGGAAGGAATTTGAATACACAGAGGCTTATATGCATATGTTTATGGAAGCTTTATTTTTAATAGCCAAAAACTGGAAACCAAATACCCATCTGGTCAACTGGTAAGTCAACAAAATGTGGCACACTCATACAGTGGAACACTGCTCAGCAGTGAAACTGAACAAACTACTTAATACGTGCTACAACATGGAGGCATCTCAAAGACATGATGCTAAATGAAGGTCATCAGGCAGAAAAGACTACATACTATATGATTCCATTTTTAGGAAATTCTGGAAAAGGCAAAGCTATAGGGACAGAAAGCAGATCAGTTATTGTCAGGGTCTGGGATAAAGTTGGTCTGGAGGAAGGTATTGACTAGAAAGAGGCTCAAGGGTACTTCTTGAGGTGACGGAAATGTTCTGTCATGTCAGTGGTGCTTATATGAATGTGTACATTTGTAAAAACTTGTCAAATTGTATACTTAAAATTGGTTAATTTGATTCAGAGTGCAAATTATACCTCAAATTGAAAAGCAAGCAAACTTAGGGCAGTATCTCAGATGCCTTACAGAGTGGGTACTTTGGTTGAGGAAATAATCATTCTTTAACTTGAAAGCCTATTTTTAACTAACAGTAAAAGATACTAACAATATTCATTTTTATGGTGACTGTATACACAATTTTGACCCCCAAAATGTGTTTGCATAGGAAATGGTAAATGAACAAACAGCTTGCTTTAATATCTCATTGCACTTTTGCTTTCTCTTTACCTCTCCACCCAACTAGAAAAACTAATTGAGGGCCTCAAGTCTCCTGATACTTCTCTTCTGCTCCCTGACCTCTTGCCTATGACAGATCCTTTTGGTAGCACTTCCGATGCTGTAATTGGTAAACTCATCATCTTTCTTTCTTCAATCATGCATGATATGTGTGTCTGTTTCAAGAATAATAACTAACTGGTTGACAGATCCCTAGTGAATAGCCCTGGTAAGGAAGGGAAATGCCACAAAGCCTCCTAGTTTTAGAATGATGCCTGTGTTAACCCGGAAGCCAAGGCTATTTAATCTCGCCCGTGACCACCCAAATAAAGTGTTTTCTCTGCCTTCCTGGTGCACACTATTACTTTTGCTTTTCTTGATATTCTGGGATGTCTAGAGTGAATTTTTCATGAATGAGGAGGAATGTGGAAAAATTCACATTTAGTTACAAAAGCTTCATGAGGAAGGTTGGTCTTGAGTTGGACCTTACCATTAGCAGATTCTTCTTTAGAAGGTCTCTGTGTGTGCCAGGTGTCAGTAACAGAAACACTTGCCCAGTGGTGAAGCCCTATGAGTAAAATCCAGAGCAGTGGCTTGGTCTGCTGGCTGTGACATTTCCCTGTGCTCTACAAAACGTGCAGGGCCCCAGTACTCCAAGGGCACAAAGTTGTAGAACTCAGAAAGGACATGATCCTACAGGGGGAAGGGCCTCAAGCTGGGGAATGGTATACAGTGCAGAATACCGCCGAGCTACATCATGGGGTGGGATTTGCGATGGACTAGTGGCCTTTGCAAGGTACAGAGAATGTCTCCTTCCAAGTTTATCCTTGAAAAAAAGCAAAATTACCAGAAGATATGCAGGTGCCTTTCAGCCTGTCTTCTGACATGGGAGAAATCTGGGTGGCTCGAGTTCTGCATTTATGGAAACTGAGGCCCTCTGAGATGAGTCACAGTGAGGTTCACCTTCCACATGCTCAGTCATTGAAGCCCAGGCACTGAAAGCAGCAGAAATAAAGTAACTTCTTGGGCTACCCATCTCTCTGGGACTTGCATTTTAAAAACCTGTAAAAGAAAGCCTTCACAGAATTGTCAGGAAGTTTCTGACTCCCTTTTCCTTTCCCTTTATTCTCCTTTCTTAATGCTCTGTTACCAAAGAAAAAGCTGATGTTGCTGTTGAGAGTCTCATACCAGGACTGGAGCCTCCGGTGCCCCAGCGCCTCCCATCTCAGACGGAATCTGTGACCTCGAACCGCACAGGTCAGTCAGGTGTCCCCACAGCAACAGGAACTGGTCAGCAGGTGCGTGCGCAGAGCTGCCTGTAGCAGATGATCCTGGCCTTATTTGCCAGCCTGATTAGTTCCTCCTGGAATGGATGCTCTGCATTGTTACAGCCCCAGCTTCTAGATGTTGAGTGTGTTTCCTCACTAAATAGCAGAGTACTTTCTGGATTCAGGTTCTTCGTAGAGTCATCCCTGGGCTTTCTGTGGTTACAGTATTTTTTAAATTCAAGATTCTATTTACTGGTGGCAGATTCCCTCCACCTTCTTAATTAAAGAACTCTGCCTGTGTGTCATATGACAAAGCAAGGTTAAGAGCCAAGTACCTGACAATTAAGGATTCAAATTCTAGCCCAGCCACCGAATAGGTAGATGTGATTTGGGGCACATAACATGACCAAAGCTCAACTCCTTCATCTGTAAACTGGGAGGATAAGAGTATAACCAGATTTCACAGGGGACTGAGATCTAAATAATCCATATTAGGCTCTCAGATTGTGTGTTACATGAATAAATACATTTGTGTAAACTGTAAAAAAAGAAGAAAAAAACCCTCTCCTGAGTTGTCCAGGTGACCTTAAACTCCTCCAAGGTTTCTGAGCATCTTTCCTATCTGATGGTGGCAGTGGTAACTGGGAGTGCATATTCTGGGTGTTGGCATTCTAGTCCCAGCACAGTGCCTTAATTATACAGAGGTGACTTGCTGTTTAATTGTATGCAAAGTTGAAATCTTCCCTGGATCCAGCATTGTTTTCAGCCTAATTTTAAAGTTCTGTCTTAGCAGAATTCCATAACTGCCTACAAATACAGATTTGATAACCTTTATTTTTAATGAGTCCATAATTTCCTAACTTGGTACAGAAACAATTAGAAGTCTAGGAAGTATGAAAATGAACTTGTTTAGGTGAAAAAAAATATATGGTTCCTTGTCCTTGTGCTTACTTGACTGTTTTTTCTTAGAAAACTTTCCCAGAAAATAATTTGCATGTTAAAATGCTTGAATTGTAAATTTGCTTTAACTAAAAGCAAAATCATGTGTTGGAAGGAACAATTCAAATTCAAAGAATACTAGTAAGAGGCAAATGGTTCCACTTTTGAATGGGTACCTGGTTGAGTTGTGGAAAGTGCTGTTTAATTGTGTCATATTCTGCTGTAATAAGCAGGGACAACTCGCTCCTACTCAGCTTGGATACCTCATTCTATGGTAAGTTTTTCCATGAATGTTTAGGGAAAGTTTAAATGAAAGTCTTAGTTGCAAAATCCTTTTTTCCCAAATGGCATTTGCTGAGAACCGAGTTGCTGAAGCTTTATTGGCATCCCACTCACATGCTTAATCAGCAACCTCTCAGCAAAAATACTTCCATGTAGATGTATATTAATGTTGAGAAGAAGCTAGAAATACATGTTTCTGTAGATGAAAATCTAGAGGGCTGAATATGGGTTTTTTGGTTTTCTTTCTCCCATGTTGGCTTGTATGTGTAATATGTAAATGCAGTAACTAAAGGCTAGGACCTAATCTCATGATACTGTTGTGTGTGCCATTAATGCCATCACTGACCTGGGATGCTGTTAATCTGGACTCAGATTCTCTCACCGGGGAAGATTCCCTGATTGATTGCTCTCTGCTTTCTAACCCCACTACTGACCTCCTGGAAGAGTTTGCCCCCATAGCCATCTCTGCTCCAGCCCATAAAGGTAAATGCTTTCATCTTCTCAGGCCCACACATATCCTACGAGGGGAACTGAATGACTCCTGAGAATTTTCCTTAACAAACGTCTTTGCTAAAGAAGTTTTTAACCACCTCCTTTATGTGGGAAACTTGAGTCTGTATTCTTATACATAGTGTGTAACACTGTTAAAATCCCTCTCAGTAAGAATATTTAATAAGGCTTAGAAAACAGATCGGTGAAACTATTGCTTCCTGGAAATCACCTAGAGTATAGATATCCCATGTTATGTATGAAAGGCAGAGCTACATACCTGTACGGTCAGCCCAAGGCGGTGATTGAATTGATTACCCACTGACTTATCATTTTAATATGATACTTGTTGCCTTAAAATTGTTTTACCAAATCTTACTTAAAGTTTTTGGATAGTGATTACAATAAAGAATCAGGCATCATTCCTCAGAGGGCAGTCCTCAAAGATTAAACTTGTAAAAGTTTTTAATTTTAGTTAACCTTTGAGTCACAATTGATGACTGGATTTCTCTTTCTAATCTAGCCTTTTCATTTCTTAGTCTTGGGTTAATACTGGTTTGAAATTCTGCTGGACAGAGGTAGCTTGAATTGAATTCTTTTCAGTAAGTAGTTTGTGAAAGTGGTGGGCACAGTGCCTGGCTTACTCTATGCAGACATTCACTAGACTTCTTTCTTTGCTTGGGTAGTGAAAGTAGTATTCTGGAAGGAGGAAATTCATAGGAAAGAACAGTTTACGTCCTTTCTGAAGAAAATTCAAGAAGAAAGCCTTCCTGAAATGACTAAAAAATAATTAATTTGTGGTTTGCTGTGATAATAGCTGAGTTTGTATTTCTACCCTTGACAACATTAAAATGATTATGTTTTTATAGAGCATGTAGAGAAAAGTTACCTATTTACCCAATTATGTTTGGCCAGGAGTGTGTCAGCAGCAATATGTAATTACAGAGAAGCATTAATTACAAAATAGGTGCTCAGCCAGCACTTGCTGGTAGGATAGCCTGATTGGATTGGAAAAGAATATTCTAACAAACTCCTGCTTGAAGTCTCTGTGCATGTGATCCCGTGCCCCAGCATTTCCTCAGGCATCAGAGTTGTTTGAAAATCTGCTTTTCCAACCACTGGGCAGTGAGTCCTTTCAGAAGTATTTTGCTCCGCTATGTATATAGCAATTGCTTCTTTTTTAATTGAAGTATTGTTGATATACAATCTTATATTGGTTTCAAGTATATAACACAATGGTTTAATAGTTATCCATATTATTAAATCCTCACCCCCACTACTGCAGTTACTATCTGTCAGTGTAGGAAGATGTTGCAAAATCATTGGCTGTATTCTCCATGCTGTACTACCATCCCCTTAACTAACTTATATTATGATTGAGAATTTTTGTATCCCCTTATTCCCCTCACCTCCCCCACCCACCCACCCAATCCTTCCCCCAAGGTAACCACTAGTCACTTCTCAGTGTCTATGGGTCTACTGCTATTTTGTTCATTGTGTTTTGCTTTGCTTTTATATTCTACAAATAAGTGAAATCATATGGTATTTGGGTAATTGCTTCTTGAAGAGCAACTAATCACCATCACCCTGCCCCTGGTTTGAGTTTTTCTAATGTTGTTAGTCAGGACTCTGTTTGCCCAATAAAGAAGATAAATAACTAATTCCTGTGCCTTTGGAACTCCTAACATTGAAGAGATACCTCACAATAACTACAATTAATGGTCTTATAATGGTAGGGAGATTTCATCCTATAACCCTTCTTCCTAATCATTTATGAAAGCCTTAACATGGCCAACTCTTTTTTTTTTTGGTATCATTAAGGTACAATTACATGAGCAATATTATGATTACTAGACACCCCCCATTATCAAGTCCCCACCACATACCCCATTACAGTTAATAGCCAACTCTTTAAGCATTTCTTTTCCATCTCCCTAAGCTTTCCAGTTTTGCTACTTTTATTTCAACCAGGAAAATAAGCATTTTCAACTTTAAAAACAACAGCAATTGTACAGTTGGGAACTTTTTGCCTCTTACGTGTTCTCACATTTGCTAATCTTTACTTCTGTTATTTCTGCTTGTGTACTTGATTCTGTATTAAGCTGCAGAAGATAGTAATCTCATCTCAGGTTTTGATGTCCCTGAGGGTTCGGACAAGGTGGCAGAAGATGAGTTTGACCCTATTCCTGTATTGATAACCAAAAACCCGCAAGGTAAGAAAGAGAGGATGGGGAAAAGAGAAGAGCTTGGCATCAGCTCTCTACAAAATAGCAATGTACCTAATCTACAAGGGGGAAAAAAGTATCCATATTTAATGATGGAAATGGGGGGGGTAATGACAATCATTGTGGACTAGACCAGTACAGGTATGGATGCAGAGACAGATAGAGATACTGTTACAGGTATCTTAAAGCTTGACCATGGTGTTTACTTAAGAGTGAACAAAAGTATTTAATAGTTTGACTAAAAGCCAGTTTTTATAAAGTATCAAGCCAAAAATAAAGTGATCTTCAGTAAGTAGAAACCTGAAGACATATAATTAAAAAAAAGCACTGAACATTTTTTATCATTATTAGAAGAATATGTAATAAATATTCTCCCCGCCACCCCCCCGCCAAAGAGATTAACAATGGTGCTTCAATATCATTTGCATCTTTTGGACATTTGTAAAGCATCCTTTTTCCTCTTTGATGGATTAATCATTTGAACATGCCATAAAGCATGCCATGAATTGCCATAGGACCATCTATATATTTTTAAAGCATGTTTTTGCAGTGATCTTAATAACTAATTTCCCCCCCAGTGCAAAAATTACTTTTACTTTATCAAGCAGGTGACTCAATCTTATCAGAAAGTCCAATTAGGCAAAATGTATATTCATTTGAAAACAGCATCCTCTTTGCAAGGTGTTATGCCTATAGTATGGTGTACATACAGTGCCTGGTTTTTGGTGGGAGGTGGTGGGTACCTAATTTATATGTTTCAATTCAACATGTAAGAGTGCAAATGTTAATCGTTGCTTCTCTAGGGCTTTTTTGGGTTTTGGTGTTTTCTCCTTTGCTTGCGCTGCACAACTGAACTGTAACCCTCTGTATTTTGTACTGAATTCCTATCTCTCCACTTCCAGGTGGGCACTCTAGAAACAGCAGTGGGAGCTCTGAGTCCAGTCTTCCCAACCTAGCCAGGTCTTTACTGCTGGTGGATCAGCTCATAGACCTGTAGCCGTGACCCAGTAGCAGATGCAGTTCTGTAACCTTCATACCGTAATGTACATTTTCATTACGGAGTTCTAAGAAAAATGATTTTTTTTTAAATCTGCAAATAAGGGGCCCTCTAGCCCTTGTCTCTCCTACCCCTTGCCTTCTGTAGAAATGATAAGGAAAGAAAATCACTTTGGCCCTCCAGATATTCCTTGGCCAGCACCGCCCTGTTAGTTTGCTGTGTTTTCTCATTACCCTTCTTCAATGGCATTCTCTTAAGTCAGTTGCTAGATGCCATGAGCTTCATCTCTGCTGGAATTGACTCCACCAAAAGCTTAACTGTAACTGAAGCTAGTGAATTGACACCTTTGTCTTATTCTTGCTAGGAATGGCCTCCCAGATCAATCCTCCCAACCCCTGTCTCCTTTGGCCAGATGCCATGAATGTGTTTCTCTGCTTTTGCTTTTTATCCTGCTGCATTATCATGAGGACGTGGCTTCTTCAGTTGGTCTTAACTCTAGGCAGTAGCCTGGAGGTGGGTTTGTGGTTTAAGAAAGGGTAAAACTGATTGACTGATGGTATATGTTTGAAGAGAGAAAATGAACCCAGCTCTAGCCAACCAACTTTGACCTTGTTTGATCATAGACTTAGCCAAGGGATTTTACACCCCATGCAATCTGCCCGACATTTATCCAGCGTTCTGGCTTCCACTGAACCATGATTTCTCAGATCTGGAGACATGACAGCAAGTACTTAAGATCCTTGGATAAAAATGTGTACATTATATAAATCCCAAGTATTGCCATTCCTTTTCATGTTAACTGTCCCAAGCCGGGATCTCAGAATTAGACCAAAACAAGACAATGGTGGTAATATGATACCTTTTATTAGAAGACTTTTCACTGGGGGGTGGATGGGGGAGGGGAAGGAATTGTAGCAGAAACAGATGTATTTTTCTTGTGATTTTTATTTTGAATCAAATATTGTAAATTGTGTATAAATGAAGACACTGAATAGTTCTGTTTCCACTTGGCATTTCGAGTCTGATATCAGGTGTCTGTACAGGGTTTTGATCTCTTTCCCTTATATAATTAAACAGCAATCACACAGTGTAACATATGGAATCATTCTGAGTAGACTTGTGTGTTGCTATAAGCTTTCAGCAGGTCCTCTGTCTTTGTAGAATAAGCATGATGTTTTATTTTCAGATTATCAGAAGTAAGTGTGCTGACAAGCTGGGCACAATCTGACTCTGGCTACTTACCTTTCTTTCTCTCTGATGTTTGAATTGAAGGATTCAGCCAATGAAATAACGTTCAGTTGGTTTTCCTTGTCTTCTAGATTAAAAAACAAAGCAAGCATAGTTCCTCACTAACCTTAGGATACTGTTTATAAAATAAATAAAGGACCCTGCACTGACATGACAACATGCCTCATGGTCACCCTCTGTGTATGTCCTTAATTGTAGTGTATTTTTTTTCCCTACGTGGAAAGCAATTTTATAAAATCACCCCTTTGAAAAGAGGTGGGCAGAGAACCCCATTGTGGTTCTCTTCCTTGAGTGCTATTTTCCATGATCAAAAGGGAAACTTAGTTGATCAGATTTGTACAAATAAAATTCCAAGTCCGTTTGCTTGTTTCTCTATGTAGTACTTTTGTTTCTTCCTCCTCACGTTTGCACTTTAAGGGGGAAAAAAGCAAGTTGATCAGCAACAACAGCCTGCAAAACATTGCACTTTGGAGGTCAAACTCTGACCCCAGCAATGTGAGAGCAGCCTTTGAAAGGCATAAGAGGAAAAGTCTAAATCTTTCCATCTTCCTTCTGACTTTAAATACTTCCCGTGCCAGCTGAACCTAAATGAGCTAAGTAAGGGCCTCTATTAGGATAATGGATCATTTCCAAAATTGAAGGAGGCACAACCTTCCGGCTGAGGATTGAAAAAGATACCCTTGAAGAACTCTCTGTGATTGAAAGCAGTGAAAATGAGACTTGGTTTGCCCCTTTACGGACAGGAATATTACTGAAGATCAAAAATGTATTCTTTTCCCTGGAATAGAAAGTATGTATAAACTAATGAAGAAAATGCTTATTTTTAAATAAGAATAATGTTTTATGCTTATGTTTTCCAATTTTATTTTTTTTCATACATACATGTTAGAAATATAATGAAATACCTACTTTCTCAATTTAATTGAAACCATGATGACTACAGTTGAGAAATAGGTGTCTTTAAATTGTTCCTTTCATGTATTTCCCATAATCTCATTGAGATAATTACCTCGTTATCTGGTTCAGTAAAGCGTAATCAAACCTGTTAATGAAAATGAACAGATCAGAAGTCAGAAGCCAGGGACTGCAAGCCGAGGGAGATAATGACATGAAATTCCCTTGGGCTTATTGTTTAGGAGTAGGGCTTCAAAGGGGAGTACGTTTTTTTCTGTTAAGGAGTATGTGTGAGGTTCTCGGTAAATGGGACCTCCCTTAATTTATAGCATCACCCCTGAGCTGAAAATTGATTTGATATGAGTGTAGTATACTGATAACTGATAGACCTGTGAAACTCTAGACTGAGCTACAAGAGGGACCTCAGAAAGCACCCTCTAGTCCAGACACCTCATTTCACAGGTGTGGGGCCTGAGGCAGGCTGGTGGGAAAAGAGGCCCGGACAGGACTGGCCACCTGAGATCTCATCCCAGCCTTTGCCAGTCACTGGTCACGTGGTCCTCACAGGTGCTTCGCTGTCAGAGTTGCTGTTTCCTATTTATACAATGATGAATTTGGACTAGATGGTCTTTAAGATTATAGAATTCTAGGGTTCTGAGCATATATTATGTTTTCGAAGGACAATGAAGGATTTACATAATCCCAATGTTCTTCAGTTATCTTCTGTAGCTCTTACTATTACCGTAGCAGTATTTATCTTTTAGAGAATTAGGATGGGCTTTTACTAATCTGGGTTGCTCGCTCTTGGCCATCTGAATAGAAGCCTGAATTACCATAGAGCTTTGGACCTAGATTTCCCTTTTTAATCATATACATGCATGTCCTTATGTTTCAACAAAACAGCACCAAGAGGTTTCAGCTCAATGATTTGCCACTCAAAAATGGGCAGGTACTCTAAGCATATGTTTCTGGTTTGCTTTTATTCCAGCTGTGCAAGAGTAATGACTATATCAGAAAACATCACAAGTTTTCTTTTTTTCCTTCACAACATTCAGATAAACTAGATCACCAAATTTAAGTCCCTGTGTTTTAAAAAACACAGGCCTCAAAGGAGATAAGGTTTAAATGGACACTTCTAAGTATTAATTATAATCAATGATTTCTTCAGCAGACATGTCAGAATTTTAACACTTAAGTGAGTGTCGCTCCCTTCAAAGGCATCTGGTTTTACTTGGGAAGCTAATACTTAATTCTAATGATACTGCCATCTTTTGAAGTTATTTTTGAAACTTCTTTCCTTAGAAATACCATCAAGGAAGGTAATAAGGCATAAGAAAATCAGTTGTATTATTACCTAATTAGTATCACTTTCAACTTCTGAAAGTATGTTCGTTTCTTGATCTTCTTCCACCACCCTTGGTTCTGAGTAACATTTGGCTATTTCCAAAAAGCAAAATCCCCTCCCTCTTAGATAAAGAGTGGTTACTACTGGAGATAGGAAAAAGCATAATCCACAGGAAACACCCAGAAAGGATCTTATAATGGAAAGTGACAACAATCAGTCTAATTTCCTTACTATTCTGAATAAGGGAACTTTGGTGATTGTTGCCTGTCTTTGGTATGGTTTAGAAAACTGAAAGATACAGGTTTTAAAATACCTCTGGAAGAGGTTGTCACTTTGTCAGGTGTCATTGGATGCTTGACTTGGCTCTTCCTAGATTAGAATTATAGAACCTGGATTGCTAGAATTGTAGAACCTGTATATAATACTGTTTCCCTACTATCCCGACAGATAATTGATAATTTTGATTCAAACCGACGCAGCTTTCCCCAGGTCAGAAACAGTTCTGCCTTCAGCAGTGCTGTGGGAAGGAAGGGACTTTTTGGGTTGACCTCAGCCCAGAGGTAATGGAGGGATCTGGGCTCAGCTAAACAAATGTACTCTATAGATAACTTGGACCAAAATAAAGTATCCCATGATATTTGTCTATATTTTCAAGAATCTTTAGCTTTCTCAAATTATCATGATCCTGTACCACTAACTCAGGGTTTAGGAATAAAAATGACAGACAACTACTCAATTAAACAAATTAGAGGCTGCCATGTAGAATAGAGCAATGATCACAGGGATATTTAAAATGGAATATTTACTGAAACACTCCAGATATTACAAAGCTATCTTTTATTCCTCTCTAGAGACTATAATTTTACCAACAGAAAGTTAAGTCTTTTCCTTTTCCACACTAGTAATGAATGTTCCTGAAGTTGTATGTGCTTGGGTTTTTTGATTCAGAATGAATCCCAGATGGCCTCCATTTCAAATAATCTGTTGTACTAAGACACGATGTTGTTTTTCCTGGGTTTCCTTTCACTAAGGTGAGGGAGAGAGGTTCCTTGGGTAAATACTAGCCTATGCAAAGTTACCAAATGGTGATAGTTGCTGGAATGGAAGTCACTTTCTCGGTTCCCACTTTGATGGAGTGTCCTGAATTACTCTTTTCCTATGAGTATTCTACTCCACCCTTTGCATACCCCCTGGTCATGTAGATGTATATTTGCCACAAGTCTTTATCCTGTCCTCCCCAAGAAGAGAAAGCAAACAGAGGTACATAAAGCTACTTTAGCAGTAAAAATGTGAAGTTAAAATATTGCTAATCAAGTATTGTATAAAAAAAATGTAAACAAATTTCTTATGTAAACATATAAGGGAATAAAGACTTTTATCTGTTCAAATGAGAGCATGATGTTCAGAGATGTAAAAACTTAAAATAGCTGTTTTCCTCCTCTGAGAACCCACTTTTGCAGAAAAGATTTAAACACATCATTGAGTGATGATAAGTACTTGTGCACAAGGCAAGTGTGAATGCTTGTGATTGACATGTTGAGGATGTTTTAGTGAGTCATGGCTTCCCTGGCTTCACCTCATGGTCAGGGAGAATAAAACCCCTGTAAGCCTGTACTTTATATGACCAGGCACAGGTTGGAAAACAGAGCACAGATTTTCAGCCACACTCCTTTGATTTAACCCTTTCTATATCTAATATTAAATATTCAATGTAATTAAACATTTTATGTAGGCAAGAGCAGTTTTATGCCCAAGAAATCTTTTCCATTGAATTGCTCTGTTGGCTTGAGAGGCACAGTATTACTAGTCAGTGTTGGCTCCCATCAAATCCCTTACTCCCCAGTTGTGGTTTTTAATGCAGCTATACAACATATGGTGAAAACAAACCCTTAATTTTAAAAAAGGTCATGGAAATTAGTAGTTTGATACACATCTCTTGATTCCCTGATTTGGTTCTAAGAGTGTGTATTTCAGTTGGTACTACATTTCTGAAGTTCTTGTGAAGGGGTATTTTGCTTTCTATTTGCTAACTATATGAGAAGGTTCCCCAGTACTCCAAATCTTCATTTTCAGTTTTTTAGCCGAATTATGTCTTTCATACTTCCTATAACTGTTATTTCAATTTATATAATGGAGGAAAGTAAAAGTCTGGTTGTACATGATATATTGCACTAAGGAATATCTTGTCTGAAACTTAGTCTTGAGATTTTGATTTCTTAGGATGCACTCTGAGGACCTTCACTATGTCCAACAGAAAAAATTTCTCAGGTAAAGCTATGCCAAATCATTCAGCACTTTTGATTGCTTTGGAAGTTAATAGGGAGTTGGTGAGGATAGTTGCCAAGTTATCAAATATTTGGGACTCTTTTCCTACTCTCTGAAGCAAATGAACTCTTAGTGAATTCTAGAGAATTTGGAACCTTAAGATAAACTAAAATGGAACTATCCCTAAGTGGAAGTGTCAAACAAGTGTTCTTTACCCTAACCTGACACACTCTTGTACATCAGAGCAAGAAAAAGAACTGTGTTTTGACTTCTTTAATGTGCTAAACCAAAATAAAGAGAGATTTGACACAGTTTGAGGGAGTTAGAACATAATGTTCAATGTTAGGTTTCATAATAAGGAAGACCCTTGGGCTGATGGTGAAGCCAAGTCCGAGGTTTTAGCCACCCACCCCTAGGAATGACTAGCTGGCATTACTGAGCTCTGTGGTCACACGGCCTCTGCTATGCATGCCACTGGTTGCCAGAGGAACTGGGCTAAGGCACGAGGTTAAATCAGTGTAAATCCTTTATTGCTAGTAGGCAGATGGCTTCAAACACAGTAGCAGTAAAAATGTAAAATTTGAACATTTTCCTGATAGTACAAGGCTTTCTTCGCATACAACCACCATTCACTTTGAAAACACATGCTTTCCCTGCGAGAACACACTCATTCCAAAAAGGCCTCTAACTGCTGACAAGATTTAATGTCTATCTTCTGTTACAGTTATTTAGAATCTTTCCTTCTCTTGACTGTTTTGTTTCTTGTGCTGCAATCACCAAAATTCCTTGAGGGAATGTGGCTGTCTGTGCGTCCCCATGCCCACCAGCATTTCTTTGGTTTCCATAATACCAGGCTTGGAGAGTTGCAAAAGGTGGTGGTTCTCTGCCTTGCTTACACAGCACCCTTCTAAAAAGAATAGGAAGGTTAAGAGACTTGGCCCTCTCAAGAGAATCCTTTAAATGTACTTTTCCAGTCCTGTAAAGCAGATTCATGCTGAAAGAGAGAGATGAAATAGGTCTGGCTTTGTTTTGAAGGACAGGAAACTAGTTTTCTTTCAGACTTGATGCTATAGTATTTTGTGACTGTGTTTGGGAATTTTAAAAAGTTGTTGGAATTTTAGGCATGATTTTCTAATTACTCACCATGAAGGCCATAGCCAAAGAATATGCTCTGAATTGGCAGGGCTCCAGCTGACTTGACCAAGAGCCCACTTTTTAACAGGAATTACTTAGGTTAGGCATAATCTTCCATCCTATCCAACCATGGATATGGGCACCCCCTGCATGGTACTTTACAATTCTCAGTGTAATCCAACACTGCAGGTATCCCGTGTGCCCGGATTCTATAGGTAGCTGTTTTTTGGCAGTGTCTGCACACAAATTAATCTGACTGACTTAAGTTAAATGTCCTGAAAGCACTAACTCCAGTCAAACTAGTGTTTCATTTTCATTGCTGATTTGTATGATGCCAGAATTAGTCATTGGCTTGACTAAATTTACTTTTTTTTTCCTAAGAGATATTTTGCTCTCCCCAGGAACCAGCTTAGTAACACCAACTTTTGGGGTAGTTTTGGAAGATGAGAAATTGTGCCTTAGTTTTGGTAACTGAAAACTTTGTCCAGCTGATGCTATGTTAGAAAGTGGTTCAAGGAATTGGGGCCTTTCATACCACTTGCTGGGCAAATCTTACTTTGGAAAACCTCTTTGCCCCCTCTCATTTGAATTTCCTCCCAGAAATCATGATCTGGGGAATCACTGTGACAGATTTAATATCAATATGCTTGCCTGTGAGTTTAGGATTTTGTCTTTCTACATTCTGTTGCAAGGGAGAAAGTATTCTCTCTATTTCCTATCAGCCAACTAATGCTTTCCTATCACCGATGTAGGTGCACATATTAAAGTTTTAATGCAAGGAAAAATTTACCTTCTTCAAAATCATATTCTTCAAATATTATTCAGAAAGCCCTTCAGAACCAGTTCAGAATTTAAGACTAATTTGGAATTCACTCAACACAGTCAAACTGTTAGAAAGGGAAATAAAGATGGGAGAAATACCCACCTTTTTTTGTTTCTGAAAACAATACTTAAGGTCAGAACTGTTTAAAAAGAAGCACTGCTAAAAAGTTATAGGATTCAGAGAAACAATTTTTTTTGTACATACCTTCTAAAATGTTCAGATCTCTCTCTACGTCTCCCTACAATGTAATGTCTCTAAGTGACTGGTTTCCCAATAAACTGATTTTGATGCTGCTTTTGCTGTGTTTTGTGTGCTTAATTCAACAGAAACTTTAGCAGGGGATAACTGTTAGCAGAAATTTCTACTAGCTAATGGTTTTTATAAAAGGGGAGAGGGTAAGCTGGGAGGGGAGGATCAAATTAATCTCTGTACAGAGATTCTGAGTTATCTGTAGGGTCCTAATTGTTGTACTTAATGTTATTATCCTGGTGGGTTGGGAAACCCATGATGAAATGATGCCTTGACCCCCAACCAGCCTTTCTCTGGATTCTTCTTGCTTAGTTACATATGCCTTTTTCCTGCCCTCTTGCTAACATGTGCCCAATGACATACTTCTAACCTGCTAATATTTCTTGGAAGGTAAGCTGTCTTGCATTGATAATTGTCCTTTTGATTTAAAAGCCAGAGCACCCTGAGGCACCTCTACCTAGATAGAAATAGACTAGTATATTTACCCATGCAGTTTACTCCTTCTGCTTAAAGAACATTCTGATGGATTGATTCATTAAGCAGTCTTTGCTAACTTAGAAGACTGAAAACAAAATTCCAGGGCAACTCCAGCTGAAGGTGATTTTAATGATTTTGATTGTCTCCTCCCCTTAGAAAGTGCCTTCAGTATTCATATTTGGAGCGCTCTTGTGCTGTTTGAGTAGGTGTTTATGATGTAAATCATCAAGTAAACATGCATTTATCAAGCAGCCATGTTCTGCTTCAGGGGCAGAGGAGGCCCGTCCTCAGATACAAAGTATGGAGCAGATGACCACTGTTAGATCAAATTGAATTTGCCCCCAGACAGTATTTCTACATAATCCCAAACTGTCATGGTGTCTGTGGAGATGAGTGACTGGGTTTGTTTTCATTCCATCATGAACCAGGGCCAGGTAGAGCAGGTGTCAGTGCCTGGCCCTGCGAGCAGGAGCATCGCGTAGTCACGCTCAGTGTCTGTGTGCCTAACAACTTCATCTCCTTTCCTGCACATTGTGCCTATCTTGTTCCAAAATGTGAGACAGTGATTGGTTGTGTTCCAGTTTGTGTGCTGTTTCCTTGCCTGACTTTTCTTTTTCTGTTATTCCTTTTCCATTTTCAACATTTATTTTTTGGTCCCATAATGTTTCTGCCGCGGGTTGACCATTCGGTGTTCCAAGGAGAGTTGAGCTGACCTATGCATTAATTCTGCATTTTGTGCTTTTCTAGGTCTCCAGAGAGAGCCCAATCCCTGTCCTGTAATAACTGTAGAGCACTTTAAAGAATCAACGGGTGTTAAAGGCCTTCCCTTGTATCCAGACTCCTCTGGAGTACCTGACACAAACACTCAGAACAATTTAGAATCTGACTACTTGGCCCGCGATGGCCCTTCAAGCAACAGCTCATTCCACAGCAGTGAAGAGGAAGGCACCGACCTCGAGGGGGACATGCTAGACTGCAGTGGGTCTCGACCTCTTCTCATGGAGTCTGAAGAAGAGGATGAGAGCTGCAAGCCTCTGCAGGGGAAGCTGGGAGGTGCCATTCCATTCACTCAGCCTGAAGTCTCTACTGAGCAAGAAAAGGCAGTACAAGATGCAAGAAAGAACCAGTTCCAAGCCCTCATACAACTGACCACTGATGGTCTCAGTGAGCCAGATGTTTTTGCCACAGCCCCCTTCAGGAGCTCAAGAGTTCCAGCAGATGACATGGACATTTTCTCCAAAGCCCCGTTTGTCTCCAAGGGCAGTGTGGCTCCTTCCCAGCCAGAGGAAGCAGATGTGTTCTTGCGAGCTCCTTTTACCAAGAAGAAGAGCATAGAGGAGCTAGCAGTTTCCCAGAGCACCTCCCAGGAGTTGCCTGGACAGGCCAGTCACATCAGTCAGACAGATGACGTCCCTCTACTCGCAGGCCTTGACAGAGCAGTGTGTGCCTCGGTGCGAGCTCAGTATCCCATGGCTGGTTTTGTCCAACAATCTAAGCTCCCCTCCCATTCTGTACAAGCAGCAGACCATCTTGACAGCATCTCTCATAGGGGATCCTCCTTAGAATCAGGGGGTCATCCTAATGAGAGAAACAAAGCACCTCAGCCCCAAAAAGAAGCTGTCTCAGGCCCTGTGGCTGGCAAACCATTCCGCCCCCAATCTTTATCCAAATATTCCCGTCACTATAGCCCAGAAGATGAGCCAAGTCCAGAAGTGCAGCCCATTGCTGCCTACAAAATTGTCTCGCAAACCAACAAGCAGTCAATAGCAGGCTCTGTTTCCATCACGTCCCTTTCCTCCAGGACTACGGAGCTGCCAGCTGCTGATCCTTTTGCTTTAGCACCCTTTCCTTCAAAATCAGGCAAGCAGAAACCTTAGGAGCAATACCTGAGCCTCAGGACTGTCTTTACCCCACCCTCAACATCCACCACATCACTCCCAGCTGAGCCTTCCTAAGAAGAAATATGTCTGCTGTCAGTTAATATCTTCCAGTTCCATGGGTCAGATGGAACTTCTTCAGTCAACAAACTCAGTTGTGGTGATACTTAGTTGAAACCCCTTTAAGTTATGCTCAATTATTTTGTCTAAGTTGATTTCTGGACTTCCAGGCATTTCCATCTCCACCTCCACCCAGAACTCTGCTTTTTTTTTGTTGGCCCAGAAACTGTTTAAATCCAGAAATACTTTACCCCAACCCCAAAGGGGCCACGTTATCGCTAGTTTTATTCCTACAGTTCCTGTTCTGAGTTACGTCCATTGAAGAATCAATATTAGTCCCTTCAGGACAAGATTTAATACTCTTGAAAAGAGGATATTTCTGGACAGAAATGCAAGATAAAAATCCTGCACATCAAAACAAAGTGTAATCCTGCAGACACTACTCATTTCCGTAAAACCAGCAGCTCTACGAGGATTCTCCGGATCTGTTTCTGAGCCTGTGCTAGCCAGGGTGGCCCTCATGCATGGGTGTCTTGTGAGTGTGTAACGTCTGTCAGATCCTTTCCTGTGTAGAAATGCAAACCGATGAGATATCTGTTCTCATGTCTAATACTGTTGAGCCTTCCCCACATCCACACTTTAAAGTACTGTGAGTGCAAAGGTGTGTGTGTGTGCACAGGAAGCACTTTTCCTTTAGGTAAATCCTGTCCCACCATGCCTACCTCCACAGTCACTCATTTACTGGCATGTCTTCTGACCTAACTGACTTGAACCCTTTGTTTAGTTCTTTCCTCATGGCAAGACTGAATTCATTGGAAGGTGTAGAAAAATACAGCTGGAGCTGAGGTTTCAGGGTAGATATTTTTTTCCTCCAGAATTGCTGTTTTCTTTTAACAAATTCCATTTACATGATCTTAGAAAATTAATTATCCTTATACATTTTCTCTGAGAAAATTAATTATCCTTATACATTTTCCTCTCAGAACAACAGAAAAGGGCATATTGTTACAGTCCAGCCACTGAGTATGAGGTCTTAGTAGTTTTAAAAATTACTTTGAAAACTTGAGGCCTGAGCACTCCATGCTGTCATATGGAATTCATTAATCATGAGACTAGGCTATAAACTATGTTTGCTTGTTTATTTTTTCCAAATCGTTGCCATCTTCCTCCTCTATTGCCTCTTGAGGAAATAGAAGTCTGAAATACGTAAATAAGTTTGTCTGGGAGAATGGGAAAGAGCTGAATTAGCTAGCCATTAAATCCTTTAATTCTTTGTCCTCTTTAGATGTTGAAGTAGACCAGACAGGTGACTGACTTGTGTATTTGAAATGTCTTCTATTTCTGGAAAGATCTGACTCATTCCTGGCTGTTTTCTTGCCCTTTATTATTCGTGCCTTAAAATTGCATCTCAATAGGAAGATTTCTGCTGAGGGAAGTCAACTTAATGGAAAGAGTTGCTGCACCATGTTTCAACTTGAAAGCTTCCTTTCACTTGTGGCAAATGTTAGTGATTTCTTCATTAGCTGGAGAACTTGGGAGAGTGGCTCACCAAACCAGGGTAATGATTTAAGAATTATTGGAAATTCCTCCAAGAATCAAGCCTGAATGCCAGACTGTACTGCAGTTGATTAGGTGTCATAGTCTTTAAATTAGAAGTTCAGGGATCTTGGCAATGAAATATGAATAACTATTTTTCAAGACTTTTTATAGTGCAGTCTCCACCTATTTCAAATGTCCAGGTTAAAAGGTAAATTTAATTAATTGGCATTGCATCAGGGCTACCAGCAATGGTTTCCAACTCAGGTTTTAACTGTCAGTCTTGCACTTTGGCAGATGATAACGGTTCATTCTAAGAGTTTGCTTTTCTTCCAGTGATCGTTTCTGATTTTTCTGTGTAACAGTGGTTTCAAATCATCTTTCCAGTTGAGTGAATAGTTTGGGCTAATGCATATGGAACTTTGTACCCCAAACTCTTCCTTTGGCCATTAGCGATTAAAGCCCTCAAAGACAAGAGCTAAGAGTATAGGAATATTCTGGGAGAGTTCTCAGCCAAATCAGAAACTCTAAAAAGTGGAAGGGCATTCCAATTCACTCTTTCAGATATTCAAGTTTACCTCTCTAACAGCTCTGCAAAATCTCTTTCCTTTGGTTATTTAATCACTCCCTCCTAAACAGGTAACCATTTTAGTTCTCAAGGTAAAATCAATAAAACAATGTTGATTTTATTACAGAATTGAATCATTTGTTAAACTTGGGCCTTAACCCCTTTTCATTCTCACTGAAGACCTATGATGGGTAGAGATTCTAAATACCTTCTTTGGATAGGAAATGAATATAAACATATGCAAATTACCTTTGCATTTTTCTTATTGGGTTATGCATGAAAATATTTGTTGGATTACATTAGTTATTAACTAGTAATAAATGAATTCTGCACTGATCTTTTGATCATATAGGGTAAGTGCATCATGTAAACATAAAATGTGTTTGCCAGAGGCCATCCTGAACCTGGAAATCTGGAAAATTGAGTTTTAAGGGAATTAGGAGTGCCCCGGGTGGCTTTGGATTAGTAGCAAATGGATGTTGCAACAATTATACTTACTACAGCAGGTTAACTTTAAAGAGAAAAAG